GAAACTCTAATCTAACTCTAATCTATGTTATTAGGCCAACTAACTCAGCTGTCCCATTGCCCATGACCCTAAACCTCCCCAAACATAGGAACCAAATCATACGAGGTTTGACTGTACATAAGACACCTCAGTAGTGACTCCTTTCCCTCCTCCAATCATTGTTGTATTTATCCCAACTTTTGTCGAATCAGCTTTTTATAGGTGTACAACTTACAGACAGCAATTACAATGACTGGCTGTGTGACCTTGCCCTTTATCAGTGTGATACAAATAAATCACTAGTAGGAGTCAAGAAAGTGCTGAAGAGCAATGGTATCTCTCTGGAGACTAAGGTGCGTCTGATACAGGCCATGGTCTTTGCTGTCACTTGTTATTCATCAGAGAGTTGGACAATGACCAAGGAGGATAGAAGGAGAATTGATGCCTTTGAGCTGTGGTGCTGAAGAAGAATATTGAGGGTACCATAGACTGCTAGGAAAACAAACAGATTCACCCTAGAAAGGGTTAAACCGGGTGGCTCCTTGGAGGCAAGGATTCTGAGGTTCCATCTAACATACTTTGGACATGTTGTAAGGAGGGACCGGTCCTTGGAGAGGGACATCATACTTGGTAGGTTGGAGGGACAGCGCAGGAGCGGAAGGCCCTCTATGAGGTGGATTGATTCAGTGACTGGGGTAATCGGGATGAGAGTGTCAGAGACGGTGCAATTGACACAGGATAGAGCAGGGTTTAGGGATGTTGTACATACGGTTGCTATGATCGCAAGCGACTCGATGGCACATAACAACAACAACAAGAAGGAGTCAAGATGGAGGAGTGTGCACGAGAACCTTGCCCCTGGCGAATCGTGGATGACTGTGGTGGTGTCTTTATGATGGGCACCATAGGCGGTGGCATCTTTCAAGTAATCAAAGGTTTCTGTAATTCTCCAGGGGATGTCAGCCACAGACTGTGAGGGAGTTAGACAGCTATTTAAACTAGCTATTTACACTAGGGCTTCACTGTTAGGAGGCAGCTTTGCCATTTGGGGAGGTCTGTTTTCCATGACTGACTGCATTATGGTTCAGATCAGAGGGACAGAAGATCCCTAGAGCTCTGTCAAGTGGTGCCTTCACAGGAGCCATACTGGCTGCAAGAAAAGGACCAGTGGCTTTGGTTGGGTCAGCTGCAACGGGTGCCATTCTTCTAGTTTAGCTGAAGGAGCTGGTATCTTACTGACAAGATTTGCTTCTGCACAGTTTCCCAATGGCCCTCAGTTTGCTGAAGATCCCTCCCAGGTGCCTTCAACTCAGTTAACTTTCTTACATTTTGGAGACTCTCATCAATATCAATAGGATTAAGATGTGCATCCTGGGAGTTAACAAATGAGCTGTAGTTCAAGGATTTTGGAAGACCAAGTTTGCAGTCTGTTTTTAAAATCATAAGTGAGACAACTCTGGCCAATAGTATGGGAAGACAGTTAGTACTTTTTTCCTATTTAAAGGAAAATGAGGGGGTGGTATTAAGAGAATACATTTATTTATTCCCACGTGGGTTGGATTTGTGATCAGGATAAATATCTTCTATCTTAAAAAATACAACAAGGGTGTAGAATATGAAGGACCAAAGGACAACCAGTAGTGAAACACAACCACCATTTCCTTGGGGATTTCTCAGCCTGGGTTTATAAATTCTGTTCTTCAAACAATGAAAACTCCTGGAATTTTATCTTTTATTTTAGAAAATAAAATCACCATTAATCCCACTTACCTTCTGATATTTTTAAGCTGTCACAAGAAAAGAGCTGCTTGGCCACATGCATAGATTTCCTGCTAATAGATGGAAAATTGAGAAAGTACTCCCAAGTTGTCCCAGTAGCAACCACATGGAAAATAAGTGGAGAAAGTTCACAAAGTGAAACTTCAGAGGTTACCAGACACCAAGGCAGCTTTCTGTGTGGCTCTGACTTGCGCATGTATAATATTTATATTACGGGGGTGAAGGAAAGAACTGAAGTAGGTTGTAATGTTTTAGAGTATTTTTTTTTCTCATTGGAATGATTATGCTTGATGACATGGGCTATTCCCACTTCTTCCATAAATCACCATCAACTTCCCACAAATAGTTTCTTGCCTCATACCACCCTCATGGCACCTGATCTATATCCTTAAACAGAACACTACCTTGATCAAAAATTTGCACCTTCCCTGATTGCCAATAGAAACAAGCCTGAACCTCTCTCTGGGTGTCATTTAAGGCTTTTTTCACGAAGCCGTTCACTCCCTACCTTATCTCCTACGATGCCCTGTGAACCCGGCAAGTCAGCTCAGAAGGAGATTCATGGTTTCCTCCCTGAACTGCCCCCACTCTGATTCTCTCCACTTTTCTAACTCCTCCTGCTCACGCAGAGCCTACCTCCTCTGCCTCTGCCCACGGTGATCCCTCCCTGCTATAAATTCCGGTAGCACATTCCCCGCACACCTCCTTCTGGCAATTTATTTACTGAGTGATTAATATGTATGTGGGGCTGTGCTAGATGCCTTGAAGATATCCAGAGAATCAGTAGAATAAGGTCCTGGCCCTGGAGGAGCCTCCAACACTGCTGCTTTGTCAGGACACATCAGGCTTTTTAAGTGCAAGGCCTCAAGTTCTGAAAAGAGATGCCTTGCTTCTCATGGGGCTCTGAATCTGGGTGGTACAAGAGATAACACATTTGGCAGCTGCACAAAAGCTTGCCGGTTCCAGTCTGTTCTGAAGACAGGCCTGCTGATCCCCTCTGAAAAATCTGCCACCGAAACCCTGTGGAGCTGACTTCTCCCCGACACGCATGTGCTTGCTGGGAGCTAGGTTCCACCCGACAATGGGTTTTTTGGGATTTTAACCTATGAGGATTTCAGCAGGATTTGTTAAATTGAATTTTCCTCCCTCCCCTCTGAGATTTATGTTCTAATTAATTCTGGTCGATCTGGTAGCTGAAGTGTAATAGCTAATTTACTCTTAAAAGGTCAAATCTTACAGCCAGTCCTTCAGTGAAGAAATCAAACGAGGTGTTGCAGTGGGAAAAATCTGCTACCAATGGCTTCTCCAAAGTGTTGAAGAGCAATGACGTCAGTATAAAGGCGTTGTTGTTGTTGTTAGGTGCCGTTGTGTCTTGTACGACTCGTAACAACCATACGAACAGTTGACCGGAACGCCAGCCTGTCCTGTGCCATCTTCACATTTCCTGATACATTAGAGTCCATTGTGGCAGCCACCCTGTCAGTCCACCTGGTTGAGGGTCTCTTTCTCCTTTGCTGACCCTCCACCTTTCCAAGCATCATGTCCCTCGCCAAGGAATAGCCCCTCCTAGCAACATGCCCGAAGTATGTGAGATGAAGCCTCATCATCCTTGCCTCCAAACAACACTCCGGCCACACCCTCTCCAAGACATATTTATTTGTTCTTTTGGCAGTCCATGGGATGTTCAGTGTTCTTCTCCAACACCACAGCTCAAAGGCATTAATTCTTCTTCTGTCATCCATATTCATTGTCCAGCTCTCAGATGCATAGCTAGTTATCGGAAAAACCATGGCCTGAATCAGACACACTTTAGTCCTCAAAATGACATTATTACTCATCAATGATTTGGAGAGGTCCCTAACTACAGAGTTTCCCCAACTCAATACATCTCTTGATTTTGTGACTGCTGGTACCAATGGTGTTAATTGTGGATCCAAGTTAAGATGAAGATGTTGGCAATTTTAATCTCCTCTCCATCCATCATGATGTTGCCTATCCGTCTTTGTTTTCTAGACATTGAGATACAATCTATACTGACGGCCGCTTTCCTTGATCTTCTGCAACAAGTGCTTGAAGTCTTCCACACTTTCGGCAAGCAAGGGTGTGTCATCTGCATAACACAGGTTATTGATGAGTGTTCCTCCTGTTCTGATGCCACATTCCTTCTCACAGAGTCCAACTTCTTGATAATTTGCTCAGCACACAGAGATCCTGAAAGGTGGAGAGGAAGTGCTCCACGGAGTTTCTGAGGCTGTAAATCTTTACAGCAGAAGCAGAACACCACTTTCTTTCTCCCCAAACGCCTGATAAATCGAACCATCTACTTTCTGTTTCACACTGGAACGCTTTAACCACCGTGCCATGAGAGCTCCTCTTAGGGAAGAGAAGTGGGGCAGAAACGTTCCTGACCAGGAGACAGGAGCAAGGGTCATCAAACATGGACTGGCTCAGCTTGGACAGAACTACAGAGAGGCCGAGGCCAGTGGTGGGAAACCACACTTCAGACTTCACACATTTGTAACCAAAAAGACTTGATGCTGGGGCGTTTGGGTTTCACACGCCTGCTCCCAGAGGAGCAGTCAGGCAGCTGTGGAGTGTCCCCTAGGCCATCTCTTAGGACCCCAGAAAATCTCAGACCATTCAGGCGAGAAGGAACTGGTGAAGTGGGACCCCAAACCTTGGTTCCCTTCCACAGGTCCAGAGACCAGAGTGAAGAGCTAATCCAAAGCAGGAAAGACTGGCGGCGCTGGGGGCGGGATGTGGCGGACGCTCCCCTTGACTCCAGCCCCCCCCCCAACCACCCCCACAGAGGCCCAAGGCCAACGATCCGCAGTCCAGTGCCCGCAGGTCTGATGCAGCTCCGGGCCGCCGTTCCTCCCGCCTGCATTCCCGGAGCACGGACGGCGGCGGGAGGATCCCGACCCCCGGGCGCAGGCCCTTCGGCTCCAGGCGGGCGCGCGGCGCTCCTCCTCCCGGGCCGGTCCCTCCCCCGCCGCCGAGGGGCCGGGCTTGGCGGCGCGGCCCGTGCATTCCAGAGCCGAGCGCGGAGAGCACAAAGGAGCCGGGTGGTCGGCTGGCAGGGGTACTGCGCGCGCTCGGCGAGGTGGCGGCCGGCTGCGGGCGGGCGCGGAGCCGGGACACCCCGCACCCCGCCCGCGCCTGGCCTCCGCCGGGGCCCGGGGGCCGCTTTTCATGGTGGGAGGGGGGATGGTGTTGGAGTCCTGGGGCCCGGGGGAGCCCCGGGACTGAGACGACCAGGGTCTCCGGGCGAGGGGTGGAGAGTTGCGCGCCGCGGCCCGGCTCTGCCGCCCGCCATGGGCCGCGGGGCCCGAAGTTTGCCAAGTTGGTCGCCGCGGGCCTGGGGCGCGCGCAGCATGCGGGGGGGCCCGGTGCCGGGCTCGTGGGGCGCCCAGATCGCCTGAGCTGCCCCCGCGGCCCCAAGGCGTGCGCGTGTGCGCGGGGGCTCGGGGGGCTCTGCTGAGCTGGCGCGTCCGGCCATGGCCGCGGCCCGCTCCGAGCGGGGGCCAGCACTCCGGCTCCTGGGGCTGCTGCTGCTGCTGCTGGGGGCTCAGGGGGCGGCCTCGAGCGGGAACGCCACGGGGCCTGGGCCGCGGGGCGCAGGCGGGGGCGCGAGGAGAGGCGCGGGCGCCACCGGCCCCCCGCCGCTGCTGAGCCACTGCGGCCGGGCTGCGCTCTGCGAGCCGCTGCGCTACAACGTGTGCCTGGGCTCGGCGCTGCCCTACGGGGCCACCTCCACGCTGCTGGCCGGGGACTCAGACTCCCAGGAGGAAGCGCACGGGAAACTCCTGCTCTGGTCCGGTGAGCGCGCGCGATCGGGGCCCGAGGGCTTGGCAGTGAGGTGGGAACCTGGGCGCAGAATGGACTCGGGCCTGAACTTTGGAGAGGAGCCGGAGAGAGTATAGAGAGACTGAGGCTCAAACTTTGGGACAGGTTACGTTACGTGCAGGATGGGACCCTTGGTGATGGGGGAGAAGGATGAGGACATGGAGAGAGCCAGTCACAAAAGGCCTGAGGTGGGTGGGCGGACAGGGTACGCCGAGGACCTAGGGAAGCGGGAGCAGGGGGCGCCAGGCCACTGGAAAGGGCTTTTTAAGGAAGAGGAGATGCCTGCCAAGGTCCACAGGGATGGCTGAGTGCTTGGGGAGTCCAGGAGGTGTTAGATCACGTACGGGAAGAGACAGGGAAATGAAGTTGTCCTGGAAAAGTGGATGGAAGAGATTAAGGCATTTAGAGATAGAAAGGGGGCGGGGGGCGGGAGGGGAGAGAGACACTGACTGTGTTGGGGGAGTTGAGTGGGATTTGTTTTGAAGGATTAAAAGATAACTAAGGACGTTTGGGAACTCTTGGTTTGGGTTCCCTCTCACACTAGGTTTCAGTTTCCTCGTCTGAAAAATGAGTATCCCAATCCACGGCTGAGTTGGTGAAATGATGACTTGCGCTAATTATTTGTGTCTTCTATGAAGTTTGACTTCTCAAGCTGGTCCTGAGTCTGGGGTGCTGTGAGCCTGTGGATCCTTCCAGACCCTTTCCTCAAAGCTGGGATCATGTCAGAACCAAAAGGGAGGGGAAACCCCAAAACAAAACAGCAAATCAATCTCAGTTACTTCTTTGTAGTTGCTATAAACTCGATAGCTGACCCTCCAGGGAGTTTGCAGATCTCACTGAAGATTGCCCATCTTTGTCCTGCAGAGAAGGTAGCTGGATCCGAACTGCTTGCTTTTGGGATGTCCTGATTCTTTAGCAATGTGGAATAAATTCCCTACCTGTCCCTTTTTTGGACTGAGCACCTGGCATGTTAGGGAAGGCAATTGGCTCTGCTGTGCCTGCTTCTGTGATTCTAGAATTATCCTTGGAAAAGGAATTAAAAAGTCAGGAGCTGCACTGGCAGCCACCTTCTTCAGACAGTCCTGGGGTGCCTCACTCCACAGCTCTGCCCAGGAGCTCATGTTTATAGACCCTCTGCCCTTGTTGACTTGGCCACTAGACTTCTCATGGCTTCTAGGACAGGGCAGCTTCACTAACACTAGAACAGATGCCTGAAGAGGAATACAGAAGGTGGAGACCTGTGGTGGACCTGCCTCTCAGATGTGGAAGACCTGTTAGCACTTAGAACAAGAATCCTGCCTGATCCATGATATCTTTGCAAAGTCCTCCAGTAACCCTATGGAATGAGCCAACCATACCTCATTTTGCTCTGCTTCACAGATATTAAATATTTGTGGCAACCCTGTGTTGGGCACGTGTGTCGATGGTGCTGTTTTTCCAAACACATGTGCTCACTTTTTCTCAGTGTCACATTTTGGCAATTCTCGTGGTATTTGACCCTTTTTTGTAGCGCTGTTGCACGGTTGATAGGCTATTATGTCAACATAACTTTGAAAACACCTTTTTAGTGTGATTGAGTGAAAGTTTACAGAGCAAATTGGTTTTCCATGTAATGATTCATACACATTATGCTTCAAGACATTGCTCTCCTCCTGGGAGCAGCAGCCTCCTTTTCTGCCCACTGTTTCCTGTTTCCGTTCATCCTTCTTTCCTACTCCTTGGCTTCTGAGCTTTATCCCGTGGACAGACACTACCCCTTTGATCTCTTTCCTGTGGCTGGTTGATGTAAGGCTTGTGTTCCTCCCTGCTCTCTGTGTTGGTGTAAGGCGTGTGTCCTCCCTGCTGACCGTGTTGGTGTAAGGCATGTGTCCTCCCTGCCAGCCATGTTGGTGTAAGGCATGTATCCTCCCTGCCACCGTGTTGGTGTAAGGTATGTGTCCTCCCAGCTCTCTGTGTTGGTGTAAGGCGTGTGTCCTCCCTGCTGACCGTGTTGGTGTAAGGCATGTATCCTCCCTGCCAGCCGTGTTGGTGTAAGGTACGTGTCCTCCCAGCTCTCTGTGTTGGTGTAAGGCGTGTGTCCTCCCTGCTGACTGTGTTGGTGTAAGTATTGTGTATCCTCCCTGCCGTCCGTGTTGGTGTAAGGCGTATGTCCTCCCTGCTGACCGTGTTGGTGTAAGGTGTGTGTCCTCCCTGCCATCCATGTTGGTGTAAGGCATGTGTCCTCCCTCCTCCCTGCCACCGTGTTGATATAAGGTACATGTCCTCCCAGCTCTCTGTGTTGGTGTAAGGCGTGTGTCCTCCCTGCCAGCCGTGTTGGTGTAAGGCTTGTGTCCTCCCTGCCGTTCGTGTTGGTGTAAGGTGTGTGTCCTCCCTGTTGCTCTCCATGTTGGTGTAAGGCGTGTGTCCTCCCTGCCGGCCGTGTTGGTGTAAGGCGTGTGTCCCCCCGCTGTCCCTGATCACCTCTGTCGTGGGGTGCCGTGCAGTGGGCTCTGACTCATCGTGAACACTGTCTAATCCTGCGCCGTCCTCACCTTCTCTGCTGAGCGTAAGCATAGACCTGTCTGTAGTTTGCCTGGGATTTGAGTCATGGGGTGATTTCAATTCAGGCTTGAGGGGTAACTAAGGGCCATGGTCTCAGGGATCCCAACAGTCCGTCAGACTTCTTGTTGTCGAGTACAACTCACAGCAACCCTGTGCACAGCCAGCCTGAGCCCTGCCCTACCCTGTGCCATCCTCATCGTGTTGGACACACTCAGGCCCATTGCTGAAGTCACTGTGTCCGTCCATCTCATTGCAGGTCTTCCTCCCCTTCTCTGACCTTCCATCTTTCCAAGGAATAGCTTCGCACAGCCGCATGTTCAAAGTGTGAAAGACGAAGCCTTTTAAAAACTCTGATTTCGAGGTTTTGGTTCACATTCGTCTCTTTCCTTTGTCAGCTCTTACCAGAGTAGTTAACAGTGGCCACTTGGTCCCTCATTGCCTTTGATGCAGATGTGACTCACAGCTGCTCCAACACTGGGTTTTCAGAGGCTGTAAATCTCGTGGAAGATTGCCCATCTTTGCCTCTTGGAGCCCTTGGATTCTAACCATCAGACAGGCACCTCCTTTGATGCCTCCACCGACAATGGTCTTGAGCTTCCAGGCTCAGTGACTCATCCTCTCAAGGTGGTTATGACTAAGAAGTTTTCATAACTTACTCTGTTTGCTCTACTATACACATGACTCTGTTTACAGCACATACAGAGACGCATGTAAAAATATCATCTGCCAGACCTGTATGATCGTGGATGTGGACTCACTTGCCTGCACGTACCTGTCCATCTTGCCTTTCAGCTTGTGCATCCACTTTGAGATAGATACACAGCCTGTTATTATTGATAAATATTGCCAAATTGTATATGGTCTCGTATTTACCTTTGCTGTCCATAACCCTTGTGCGTCTGTATCTTCCCTTTCCTTAATAATACTGTGCTGATCGTGCATTTTTGTACATTGCCTAATTTAGTACTTGTCTCTTATCTAGAAACATATTTTATATACACTGGGAAGCCAAAAATAATCATACGTCTTGCTTTATTGGGGCCCTCGCTTTATTGCAATAGACTGGAATAAAACATGCAATATATGAGATATGCCTGGATGCATGATTTTGCCTTTTCACTGATGATATGGTAATATGTTGTGTAATATGTAAGATACAGTGAGGTATGTAAGAAAAGGGTTTCTGGTGATGTAAACAGTTGCGTGCTTACTGAAAGGCTGGTGGTTCAAATCCATGAAGAGGCACCTGAGAAGGAAACCTTGGAAGTTTGCTTCTGCGAAACGTGTGGGGCACAGCTCTACTCAATGTACCATAAAGGCATCCTTGGGATCTGACTCGTAGCAACTGGCTTGGTGTGGCTCTCCATATAAAAGAATTTTTTTTCTTTAAATAAAGTTATGTAGTTGCAAAAGAGTAGAAAGTTTAAATAATTTTTGAAAGGAACACTAAGGAAAAGAAAAAGAAAGAATCTTTGAACATTGCCTGAAATAAACACATGTGCTCAGGAACCAAATGTATGAAAAAAATCAAATCCCAGCATTAGAATCCCAATGAGGCCCACACAGTGAGAGCCTGTCCGTTCACTTTTTTGGTGCAGGCTTATGGTTGAATTCTCCAAAGTTAGATGTGTGCGCATGCTGTCTCTCTGTGGCTCTCATTACAGCAAGGAGAAGGACTCTTCTCAGCCGGGCTCCAGGGAGCCGCTGCTGAGCAGACAGGCAGGAACGGGCATGAGTTGAAACCATCTGCCGATTTCAACCTCTAACTCTGTGTGCTGCGCTCAGGCTCCTTTGTTCATCTGAGCTCTTCTTTGCCTCAGCCCATCATCTCTTGGCTCAACCCTGTTTTCCTGTGGCTGGACTTTTGTTTAGAGGTCTGTGAGGTAGGACCAGAGGCTGACATTGGTGTCATGTGGAGTCACTGGGGGTGTAGAGTGACCCTGGGCCCTGGGGGAGAGTCATGGCCAGGTCTTCAGTGGGGTGCGCTTGGCTCCTGGTTTGTCCTGTGCTCAGGTAGTGAGTGATCTTGATTCAGCTTTAGAGCCATCTTTCTCAATGGCTCTGGAGGCAGTTTTGTAAATAAACAATGAAAATCATCTGGGTTATCTTCCTCATCTATAAACTTTTCCCCAGTTGTTATTTGAATAAAAGTTTATAGAGATAATTTGTTTTCTATTCATATAGATTTTATCTTGCTGTTGAGTACTGTAGAGTCAGAACCAACCCATAGCCGACCCTGTGGCCTGGTTTTCAGAGGCAGTTAATCAGTCACACGGGAGGAGATTGCCCATCCTTCTCCTGCAGAGCAGCTGGTAGCCTCAAACTGCATGCCTTTGGGATTGCAGCGCTGCTTCTTGCCACTAGGCTACCAGACCTCCCTATTCATAAAAATTTTATCTTGTTGTTGTTGACTGCCTTCAAGTCAAGCACGA